TGGGGGAGGAAGGGACTGGGGGTACCAGTAAGGGACTGGGGTCTCCAGGAAAGGACCCCCTGTAGGGCCCCAGAAGCCCCCAGTAAGGGATCAAGGACTTCCAGTAAGAGACTGGAGACCCCTCCCTCCAGCAAGGGAGGAATGAGGGACCCCACTAAGGGTTTAGGGCCCCCCATAAGGGATTGAGGCCCCCAGTAAGAGACCAGTTCCCCCAGTAAGGGGTCAGGGCCCCTGTAAGAGATCAGGGTCCCCCATAAGGAACCAGCTCCCACACTGAAAACTCAGGGCCCCACATCAGGGCTCAGAGCCCCCCAGTAAGGGGTTGGGTCCCCCCACAAGAGCTTAGAGCCCCACCAGTAAGGGATTGGGGTGCCCTATAAGGTCTCTGAGCTTCCCAGTAAGGGGTTGGGGCCCCCCATAAGGGCTCAGAGCCCCCCCAAAATGAATTAGGGTCCCCCATAAGGGGTCAGAGCCCCCCACTAAGGGGTTGGGGTCCCCCATAAGGGGTCAGAGCCCCCTCTAGTAAGGGGTTGGGGTCCCCCATAAAGTCTCAGAGCCCCCAGTAAGGGGTTGGGGGCCACCATAAGAGCTTGGAGCCCCACCAGTAAGGGACTGGGGTCCCCAGTAAGAGGTTGGGGCCCCCCATAAGGGGTCAGAGCCCCCTCTAGTAAGGGGTTGGGGTCCTCCATAAAGCCTCAGAGCCCCCAGTAAGGGGTTGGGGCCCCCCCCCCAAAGGAGCCAGACCCCCCCAAACAACCCTCTGTAAGGGACCCCCTCCCCAAAAGCCCTTTGGGGGAGGAAGGGACTGGGGGTACCCAGTGAGGGACTGGGGTCTCCAGGAAAGGACCCCCAGAAGCCCCCAGTAAGGGATCAAGGACTTCCAGTAAGAGACTGGAGACCCCTTCCATGAGGGACCCCACTAAGGGTTTAGGGCCCCCCATAAGGGATTGAGGCCCCCAGTAAGACACCAGTTCCCCCAGTAAGGGGTCAGGGGCCCTGTAAGAGATCAGGGTCCCCCATAAGGAACCAGCTCCCACACCGAAAACTCAGGGCCCCCCATCAGGGCTCAGAGCCCCCCCAGAAGGAAATAGGGTCCCCCATAAGGGCTCAGAGCCCCCCACTAAGGGGTTGGGGTCCCCAGTAAGGGACTGGGGTCCCCAGTAAGGGGTTGGGGCCCCCCATAAGGGTCCCCTCCCTCCAGCAAGGGAGGAATGAGGGACCCCACTAAGGGTTTAGGGCCCCTCCATGAGGGACCCCACTAAGGGTTTAGGGCCCCCCATAAGGGATTGAGGCCCCCAGTAAGAGACCAGTTCCCCCAGTAAGGGGTCAGGGCCCCTGTAAGAGATCAGGGTCCCCCATAAGGAACCAGCTCCCACACTGAAAACTCAGGGCCCCACATCAGGGCTCAGAGCCCCCCAGTAAGGGGTTGGGTCCCCCCACAAGAGCTTAGAGCCCCACCAGTAAGGGATTGGGGTGCCCTATAAGGTCTCTGAGCTTCCCAGTAAGGGGTTGGGGCCCCCCATAAGGGCTCAGAGCCCCCCCAAAATGAATTAGGGTCCCCCATAAGGGGTCAGAGCCCCCCACTAAGGGGTTGGGGTCCCCCATAAGGGGTCAGAGCCCCCTCTAGTAAGGGGTTGGGGTCCCCCATAAAGTCTCAGAGCCCCCAGTAAGGGGTTGGGGGCCACCATAAGAGCTTGGAGCCCCACCAGTAAGGGACTGGGGTCCCCAGTAAGAGGTTGGGGCCCCCCATAAGGGGTCAGAGCCCCCTCTAGTAAGGGGTTGGGGTCCTCCATAAAGCCTCAGAGCCCCCAGTAAGGGGTTGGGGCCCCCCATAAGGGGTCAGAGCCCCCTCTAGTAAGGGGTTGGGGTCCTCCATAAAGCCTCAGAGCCCCCAGTAAGGGGTTGGGGCCCCCCATAAGGGTTCGGGGCCTCCCATAAGGGTTCGGAGCTCCCCCAGTAAGGGGTTGGGGTTCCCCCATAAGAGCTTAGAGCCCCGCCAGTAAGGGACTGGGGTTCCCAGTAAGGGGTTGGGGCCCCCCATAAGGGTTTGGAGCCCCCCAGTAAGGGGTTGGGGGTCCACCATAAGGGTTCAGAGCCCCCCAGTAAGGGGTTGGGGGCCCACCATAAGAGTTTAGAGCCCCACCAGTAAGGGACTGGGGTTCCCAGTAAGGGGTTGGGGCCCCCCATAAGGGGTCAGAGCCCCCTCTAGTAAGGGGTTGGGGTCCCCCATAAAGTCTCAGAGCCCCCAGTAAGGGGTTGGGGGCCACCATAAGAGCTTGGAGCCCCACCAGTAAGGGACTGGGGTCCCCAGTAAGAGGTTGGGGCCCCCCATAAGGGGTCAGAGCCCCCTCTAGTAAGGGGTTGGGGTCCTCCATAAAGCCTCAGAGCCCCCAGTAAGGGGTTGGGGCCCCCCATAAGGGTTCAGAGCCCCCCCTATGAAGGGGTTGGGGTTCCCCCATGAGGGCTGGGGGTCCCGGTCACTCACGTGGCAGCTTGGTGACGCGCCAGGGGACGGAGGCGGTGACGTGGCCGCGGCGGGCAGCGGTGAAGGTCCCCCATAAGGGTTCGGAGCCCCCCAGTAAGGGGTTGGGGGCCCCCATAAAGTCTCAGAGCCCCCAGTAAGGGGTTGGTGGCCCACCATAAGAGCTTGGATGGGGTCCAAGAGCTTGGAGCCCCGCCAGTAAGGGACTGGAGTCCCCAGTAAGAGGTTGGGGCACCCCATAAGGGTTCAAAGCCCCCTCTAGTAAGGGGTTGGGGTCCTCCATAAAGCCTCAGAGACCCCAGTAAGGGGTTGGGGCCCCCCATAAGGGTTCAGAGCCCCCCCTATGAAGGGGTTGGGGTTCCCCCATGAGGGCTGGGGGTCCCGGTCACTCACGTGGCAGCTTGGTGACGCGCCAGGGGACGGAGGCGGTGACGTGGCCGCGGCGGGCAGCGGTGACGAGGACCCAGGTGCCCAGGCGGTAGGGGACGGGCAGGACCCCGGTGCCCTCGTGGTCGGTGGTGCCAGTTGCCAGCGAGCTGCGGTTGCCAAAGACCTCCAGGGTGGCCTGGGCCAGCGGGGCCAGCGTCCCACTCTCGTACACCTGCACCTTCAGCAGCACCTCTGTGGGGACACGGGTGACACATGGGTGTGGGGTCACCCCGCCACGCTGACAGGAACCCCCCCGGAGCGCCCACCATCTCAGCAGGGTGGTGGGACTCATCCTGGTGGGTCGTTGGCACCATCTCAGCAGGGTTGTGGGACCCATCCGGTGAGTCATGGCCACCACTTCAGTCTTGTGGGTCATGGGCATCGTCCCATCAGGGTGGTGGGCCCCATCCTGGTGGGTCATGGCCACCATCCCAGCAGGTGGTAGGACCCTGCCAGTGGATCACAGCTACCACTTTGGTCTTGTGGGTCATGGGCATTGTCCCACCAGGGTGGTGGGCCCCATCCTGGTGGGTCATGGGCACCGTCCCAGCAAGTGGTGGGACTCTCCCAGTGGGTCATGGCCACAACCCTGGTGTGGTCCCAGCAGGGTGGTGGGACCCATCCTGGAATGTCATGGGCACCATCCTGGTGGGTCATGGCCACCATCCCAGCAGGTGGTAGGACCCTCCCGGTGGATCACAGCCACCACTTCGGTCTTGTGGGTCATGGGCATTGTCCCAGCAGGTGATGGGTCTCTCCCAATGGGTCATGGCCACAAGCCTGGTGGGTCACGGGCACTGTCCCAGCAGGGTGGTGGGACCCATCCTGGAGTGTCATGGCCATCCTGGAGTGTCATGGCCATCATCCCCAGCGGGTCATGGGCACCATCCTGGTGGGTCATGGGCACCTTCTTGGTGGGTCGTGGGCACCATCCCAGCAGGTGGTGGGACACACCCAGTGGGTCATGATCACCATCCCAGTCTGGTGGGTCACGGGCACCATCCTGGTGGGTCATGGCCACCATCCCAGTAGGGTGGTGGGACCCATATGAGCAGAATGGTGGGACCCATCCCCATGGGTCATGGCCACCACCCTAGTAAGGTCACAGGTACCATCCAGCAGGGTAGCGGGCACCTTGCTGGCAGGTTGGTGGGCACCATCCCAGTAGGATGCCAGGCACCATCCCAGTAAGTTATGGGCACCATCCTGGGGGGTGCAAGCACCACCCCTGTGCCCCTCTCTGTGCCCACCCTGTGCCCCCCCACAGCGGGTGGACGGGGGGGGGTCTCCACCCCAGGGTGCTGTCCCCACATGGGTGGGTGCACC